CTCCAACAGTTGGAGAACCAGAAGACACTGATTACTGACTCATGTTCCCTTTCACTGTGTAGACAGGGACACTCAGGGCAGAGAGGGGCTAGGTGTGTCCAGATACTCCCAGGTCGGATTCAAGGGACAGAACTGGAACTCTGAAATACCCAGGTCTCCCAGCTCTGGGGCCTGTGCTCATTTTTGACCCCATGCAACTGCCAACTGCCACTGAATCATTTTGAGATGAACCCCCCTGCAAAGAACACCCCCTCCTGAGACAAGCAGGAGTGGTGCCTCTGTATGTCACCTGGGAAGGCCCCACGCCCAGCAAGCCCCGTGGCCTCCACTGCTACGTACCGTTTCCTGCTTCAGAAACTTGTAGCAGGACATGTAACTCAGAGCCACGAGGGTGCAGCACATGAGTCCACCTCTACACGGTCACTTTAAACATCCTAATACCTATAGGTGGGTGCGCTGTGCTAGCTATTGGGAGCTATCAGGGGTCAGAGTGGAAATCCGTGGATAGAAGGGGATATTCTAGGACAAGAGGCAGGGCAGACACCAAGGAAGCAGATACCCAGGTGAAAACAGCCACCTTGATTCACACTCTCAGCTCCTTGGGATGACAGAGGAGGCAGGGATCTCCTTCTCCCCATTCTACAGAAGGGCAAATTGAGGATGGAACAGTCTTAGAAAGCAGAAGGGGCGAGCTGAGAGGGACTTCGGGATTTGAACTTGTGCATGGGTGGCCAATGGGTTTCATTTCACATGCCACCTGTGATTGACTGGTATTGCCTGCCCCAGACATTGGGGGACACTGAGTTTCCAAGCGGGCCCAGTGGAAAAGAGGACCAAGATCTGTTGGTCTACAGCCATGGTCTGGGGAAGGGGAACAGGCAGGGAGATAGGAAAGTATTTTAAGCCGAGGGGATGTGCCAAGGCCTGCAGGACCCACAGAGAGTGGCACATTTGAGGAGAAGTGGCATGGCCTGGTGGGCAGGAAGGGGGTCAGATCGGGCAGGCCACAGGGCCAGTTAAGAAGCTTTGGTTCATCCTATTAATAGGAGCAGTGCAAAATCACTTAAAAGGATTTTAGAGGGTAAGCACCAACTGAGGACAGAGAGCTCCTGTAGGCTGCAGAGACAGGGCAAGACCAGTGAGAGGCTGTCCCAGCTCCTGTAGGCTGCAGAGACAAGGCAAGACCAGTGAGAGGCTGATCCAGCTCCTGTAGGCTACAGAGACAGGGCAAGACCGGTGAGAGGCTGTCCCAGCCTCCAGATGAGAGATGATGGTGCTAGGACAGGGTGGCCAGATGGGTACGGAGACCCAGAGACCTCCCACCCCAGCACAGGCCAGGTGACAAAGGCCTGTGGGTGGCCAGCGGGGAGCGAGAACTTCTAGTTTCATAAGTCAGATTGGGAGCAGCTAAACCCTTTCTTGGTACCTGGCTCTTTAAAACAAACAAACAAACAAAAACCCAGCAGCTCAGATGCCCACGACCAATGCAAGTGAGAAGGTGAGGGGTATACATGCAGCTGCCCAGCCTGTTTCACTGTTTTAGTCTGTGGTCTAAAGAACCATGTACCCAGGCCGGGCGCGGTGGCTCAAGCCTGTAATCCCAGCACTTTGGGAGGCCGAGACGGGCGGATCACGAGGTCAGGAGATCAAGACCATCCTGGCTAACACGGTGAAACCCCATCTCTACTAAAAAATACAAAAAAAAACTAGCCGGGCGAGGTGGCGGGCGCCTGTAGACCCAGCTACTCGGGAGGCTGAGGCAGGAGAATGGCGTAAACCTGGGAGGCGGAGCTTGCAGTGAGCTGAGATCCGGCCACTGCACTCCAGCCTGGGCGACAGAGCCAGACTCCCTCTCAAAAAAAAAAAAAAATAAAGAACCATGTACCCACCCTCCAGCCTTAGCAGGTAGAGGGGCTGACAGTGGGCCCTCCAAGGTGACAGGATCTGCTGGATTTTCTTGCCTCCATCATAAGCCACCCACTTTCTGATTATGGCATGCAGAGGATGCACCGCTTACCAAGTGGAGAGGAGATGGAGCAAGGACATTCGTGTCTGGACATAAGTTGTTGTTGTTGTTGTTGTTGCTGCTGTTGAGACAGGGTCTTGCTCTCTTGCCCAGGCTAGAGTGCAGTGGCGCCATCATAGCTCACTGTAGTCTCAATCTCCTGGGCTCAAACAATCCTCCCACCTCAGCTTCCCAAGTAGCTGGGACTACAGGCACATACCACCACACCTGGCTAATTTTTTAAATTTTTTGTAGAGACAGGGTCTTGCTATATTGCCCAGGCTAGTCTCAAACTTCTGAGCTCAAGCGATCCTCGTGCCTTGACCTCCCAAAGTGGTGCGATTACAGGCATGAGCCACCACCCCTGGCTGGACACAGATCTTTCCAGAGAGGGCCACAAGTCTCCCAAGATGTCCCTCACAGCCCTCCTTGTCATCTGGGACTCTGGGCTCATGGAGCGGTTTTCAGATGTCTGTGGCTGTTACTGCAGCAGGTGTGGTGCTGCGGCAGCATTTGTGGAGGCCAGCACAGGCCTATACCCAGCAGACACCACGCAGGGTCATGGTCCCCTCCCACAGCCCCAGGTAAGTCCCATCTCCCTCCTGGAGCTCCTTGGCCTGGGAAGCCAGGGGATGGGACCTGAGGTTTTCGGAAGGGCAGAGGTCTCCTCCCTATTCTGTGTATCCTTGGGCAAGTGACTCACCTCTCTGAACCTCACATCCCCTGCCCCACCCAATGCTCAGGGCAACAGGGAGCATTCGAGGCAGAAATGAACAGAAGAGGGTAAGGCCTGGAGATAACCTCAGGCCGAGTACAACTTGAACACGGTTCCCAAACATCCAGAGCCCTGTGTTCAGAGCTGGGGCTGCTCCGGTCCCAAGGAGAGGCTCGAGGCAGCAGGGGAGGCAGACCCCAAACAGATCTTGACAGTGGCATGGCCAGCTGTAGTCCAGGAGTATGGCAGGCTAAGTCACAGAGCTGGCCACTATGTGCCTGGGAAGCAGAGCAGGAGGCAGTGGAGCAGCATAGTTGAGTTCATTTGCAGTCAGCCTTGTTTGGGCTCCAACATGGCCCCACTGCCAATGCTTGCTAGCTGTGTGACCTTGAGCAAGTTACTTAACTTCTCAGAACCTCCATTTCTACATCTGTGAAATGAGAAAAATAAAAGCCAACACTTAGTGAGCACCAACCATGTTCCAGGAACTTCTCTAAACCCTTTTCAAACCCAAATCATTCCTTAAAACCACCCTGGGGTAAGGGTACTACTCCAGCCCCGGAGAACAGATGAAGGAATGAAGGCCCAGAGAGAGGCAAAGTAATTTCACCAGGCCACACAGCTGGCGGGTGGCAGAGCCAGGCTGGCCACAAGGTCCCTGATCTCTAGGGTTAGTGAGGATCATGAATGGTGACACATGGATCAGGCTTGTCACTGCACCTGGCACCCGGTAAGCCTGCAGTTGTCGTGGCTGGTGTTATTGCTGTGAGGGTGACTGCATTTGTTTCTAGGGCTGCCATCACAAAGTACTGCAGACTGCGCAGCTTTGGCACGAGAAATTTCCTTTCTCACGATTCTGGAGGCCGGCAGTCCATGGGCAAGATACTTACTGTCAGCAGGGTAGTTTCTTGTACGAGCTCTCTTCTTGGCTTGCAGAGGCTGTCCTCTCCCCAGCCTGCATGGTCTTCCCTGAGCACGAGTCTATGTCCTCATCTCTTTTTTTTTTTTTTCTCGTTCTCTCTTTTTTGAGACAGGGTCTTGCTCTGTCACCCAGACTGGAGTGCAGTGGTGTGATCTTGGCTCACTGCAACCTCCGCCTCCCGGGTTCAAGCCATTCTCCCACCTCAGTCTCACGAGTACCTGGGAGCACAGGCATGCATCACCACGCCTGGCTAATTTTTGTACTTTTGGTAGAGATGGGGTTTTGCCATGTTGGCCGGGTTGGTCTTGAACTCCTTACTGCAAGTGATCTGCCTGCCTTGGCCTCCCAAAGTGCTGGGATTACAGGCATGAGCCACTGCGCCCCACCTGTGTGTCCTCATCTCTTTTTATAAGGCTGGTAGACATACTGAACAAGGACCAAACCTAATGACCCCCTTTTAACTTCATGACCTCTTTAAAGGCCCTGCTGCCAAATACATTCTGAGGTGCTGGGGGTTAGGGCTTCAGCACATGAAATTTAGGGCGACACGGTTGAGCCCCTAACAGTGGGAGAGCGGGTTGCCTGTTACCATGGCAGGGCTGGAGACAGAACAGGCTGGAGGAGACATGGTGGCTGCCCAGACGCCCCCTATCCTGAATGCCTGGCCGTCAGCGCCCCCGAGCCCTGGTCAGTGGGAGGAGGGCCAGGGCAGCCTTCGGCTCTGGAAGCGGGTCAGGGCTACCTCCATAAGGATGGAGGCTGCAGGGCAGAGCCCCCTTTTCCAGCTTTCACACACTCAGGCCATCACTGGGGCTCTGTGCCCCAGCACTTTGGGGACAGTCTTCCCAGGCCCTGTGTGGATGAGGGCCTTGTGTCCAGAGCCAGAGAGGGCACCTGGGCCCCAAATACCATCTGGACAGCTCGCCAATCATCCTTCCTCCTGGCCAGATGGAGCAAGAGCATGCTTCACCGAGTTGGGAAGCTGCCTCCAGCGCACGCTCCTCGGGAAGGCTTTTTTTTTTTTTTTTTTTTTTTTTTTTTTTTTTAGAGAGAGAGTCTGGGTTTCACTCTGTGGCCCAGGCTGGAGTGCCATGGTGCCTTCACAGCTCGTGGTAGCCTCAAACTCCTAGGCTCAAATGATGCTCCCACTCCAGCCTCCCAAGTAGCTAAGATTACAGGTATATGCCATCACACCCAGCTAATTTTTTTATTTTTATTTTTCAGAGATGGGGTCTGGCTATGTTGCCCAGACTGTTCCCAAACTCCTGGCCTCAAGTGATCTCCTGTCTCCGCCCACAGGTTGCTGGGATTACAGGCGTGAGCCACCACACCCAGCTCAGGAAAGCTTTCTTCAACCTCCTCCTCGGAAATTCTGCCTGGAAAGAAACAATGACAATGAAAAGATTCCGTAAACACACTCAGGGATTCAGGGCTCTGCAGCATTCATTTTTATTCTTGGCCTCACACGTGGCTGAGTTTGGCTGGCCCTGGAATGTGCACCGATCCCAGTCCCAGGACCCCACCAGCCACAGCGCCAGTCTTAAAACCTTCCAGGATGCAAATCCTGAAGCCACGAACAAAGCCAGGCCTGAGCTCATCCTAGCAGGAAGGGGCTTCCCACTGGCTCTCAGCTACCCCTCCTCCCCCAGTTGTCCCAGTCCCGTCCAGCTTGCGGTCACCACCCCAGTGCCCCCCCCCCCGCATTGCTCTCACACTAACTGCAATTTGCCTCCTAGGTGACCCTTTGTCTTGCTCCTCTCCTGTGGATTGGCCACAAAACAGCCAGAGGGACCTTTGCACCATAGGTTCCTGCTCATATCTGATCATATCACTCTGGTGTGATGATGCAATTGTTGCCAGAGGAGGAAGACGCTGGTGTAATGCCTGTCCTTTTTTTCTGCCTTCCCCATATCCCGTCAACCTTTTTTGTCCCCTTTTTCTTACCTGATGCAGTGGTCAGGACCAGGGCGGCAACTCCAAGTACTGGACACTGGGATGATTCCTAGGCAATAAACTATAACTGTTTTTAAACTTCGTTGGAATTCCTAAGGGCCTGAGGGGGCGTGTTGTGCCTTCACACCCTCTGGCAAAATCGGGGTTCACAGTGAAAGCAGCTATATTGACTGGTGCTAAAAATAGCCTACTAACTCCACACCTGGGTAACCTGACTTTTTCTGAATGGGAGTGGACTCAGGGGGAGGCGCTTATTGGACTAGCTCTACTGCCTGCAATCTGGATGAGCATGGTGGCCAAAACTAGCATCCCTTCCACAGAGGGAAAAGCTTGGGCATAAATGGAGAGAAGAAGAAAGAGTAGCTGAGGATAAAGGCAGGAATGAAGGGGTTACATAATGAGGGAAATCCAATGTACACTAACATCTTGAAAGAGGCACAGAGCAAGAAACGAGAGTGTATCTTAGCTCAGTCATAGCAGATGCCTGAAAGGGTGAGGCTATGTCTGCCAAGACCACTCCTGCTTTTGGAACCTGACAAGATCAATGCAAGCCTGCAAACCCGAGTGGCCCCTCCCTGGGAGACATTTTCATATGATGGGGTGGTGGACTGGATGAATTATTAATGACTGAATGGAATTCTAGTAACATGCCAGTATTTTTTTGTTATATGTCCTTTTGCTGTAAGGGATCCGTGTCTGAAGAGTGAAAGGTGGCTGTGATATTGTGATTTATAATATGAAATATAGGGCCGGGCACAATGCTGTGTGCCTGTGATCCCAGCTACTTGAGAGGCCAAGGCAAGAGAATCGCCTGAGCCCAAGAGTTCGAGACCAGTCTGAGTAACATAGTGAGACCTCGTTTCAACAAAAATTTAAAAATCAGCTGGGTGAGATGGCACACGCCTGTAGTCCTAGCTACTCAGGAAGCTGAGGTGGGAGGATTACTTGAGCCGAGGAATTCAAGGCTGCAGTGAGCTATAATTGAGCCATTGCACTTCAGCCTGGGTGACAGAACAAGACCCTGTCTCTAAAGAAAAATAAGAATCATATTTGTATTTTGGTCTTTATCCCCAGTTCCTGGTACTGGAGAAATTCCTAATCCCTTGAAATTTCCTGGGTGATGGGAGTATCTTTTGTTCTAATGAAGTGAATCTTGGTGGGTTCCTGGGTTCCTGGGTTCCTGACTGGGACTGGACACCAGAAAGACCAAGCCACGACTAGAAGCTTGGATCCCCCACTCCCATCCTCTGGGTAAGGGAAAGAGGTAGGAGAGTGAGTTAAAAATCAATCATACCTAAATGATGACGTCCATAAAAATTCCAGAACTACGTGAGCTGGGAGAGCTTCCAGGCTGCTTGAAGACATCCACATGCTGGGACAGTGGTGCACCCCGACTCCCTGGAGACAGTGGCTGCTACACTCAGCATTCTCCCAGACCTCACCCTATGTGCCTGTTCATCAGATGTTCAGTCCACACCCCTTATCACATCCTTCATAACCAATAAGCTGGCGAGTGTGTTTCCCCGAGTTCCCTGAACCATCCTAGCAAATTATCAAACCCAGTGAAGGGGTTGTGGTAATTCTGATTTACAGCCAGTCCATCAGAAGTACAGGTGACAGAGGCTGGGCAAGGTGGCTCACGCCTGTAATTTCAGCATTTTGGGAGGCGGAAGTGGGAAGATTACTTGAGGCCAGGAGTTTGAGATCAGCCTGGGCAATATAGTGAGACCCCACCTCTACAAAACGAAAGTGAAAATAAAAATAAATTAGCCAGATGTGGTGGTATGTGCCTGTAGTCCTGGCTATTCAGGAGACTGAGGTGAGAGGATTGTTTGGGCCCAGGAGTTCGACGGTGCAGTGAGCTATGATTGTGCCACTGCATTCCAGCCTAGGTGACAGAGCAGGACTTTGTCAAAAAAAAAAAAAAAAAGAGGTACAGGTGAAAACCTGGGACTTGTGATTGGCATCTGAACTGGGGGGTAGCATTGCGGAACTAAGCCCTAACAGGTGGAGTCTTCGGTAGCTCTGGGTAGTGTCAGAATGGAAATGAACTGTCGACACCCAGTCGATGTCCACAGACAATTGGAGAATTGCTTGATGCAGGGAAAAACCCTAGACATCTGGTCGCAGGAGTGTTCTGTGTTGAGGGTTGAGAGTGTATGGGAGAAACAGTTTGTTTTCCTATTCTGTAAGCGCTAGTGTGCTCCCACTCGCTGCAGCTCCCACTGGCTCCCATGCCCAACTCCTTCTCCAAGGGCTTTGATCTTCTCTGCTTCTCTGCACCCACTACAGGGCCGACCCTGGGCCAGGCCAGCATCCTCAGCAGCTCGGGCCTGGGTCTGCCAGGCTCGGTTGGTGAAGAAAGCCTGCCTCTTGCATTCACCCTAGGAATGCAGAGAACTTGGGAATGTTTGGCTTGGTGCAGACATCTCTGAGTTTTGGGGCCTCCCAGTCCCTAGCTGCCCCACTGCAACCTTGAGAATATCTCAGCCAGAGCCTGGGCGTGAGCTTGGGGCAGAGGTCTGGGGGTGTAACCACCTGCCTGGGAATCCATATCCTCTGATAGGCTCAGTCTATCCCCATTTTCCCTGGACACCCTACACCCCCTAATTGCTTTCCAGAGGCTCAGACATACCTTCCAGAAGGGCTTGGTCAAAGTCACTGTATTAGTTAACTATTGCTGCTGTAACAAATTATGACGAACTTAACGATGTAAAGCAACATAAACTTATTATCACACAGTCTGTGAGATCAGAAGTCTGAAATGGGCCTCGCTGGGGGTAAAATCAAGGTGTTGGCAGGACTGTGTTCTTTCTGGATAATCCATTTCCTTCTTTTTTCTAGCTTCCAAAAGCCACCTACATCCATCACTTCATGGTCCCCTCCTCCATGTTCAGAGTCAGAATTCACTGCACTGCCTTCAAATCTCTAACACTTTCCCCTCTTCCTCCTGCTTCTGCTTTAGAGGACACTTGTGATTCCATCAGGCACCCAGATGACCAAGAGGATCTTATTTTAAGGTGAGCTGATAGCAACTTTAATTTCATCTGCAACCTTAATTCCCACTTGCCATTTTACATAACATACCCACAGGTTCCAGAGACTGGGATGCAGACATGTATGAGAGCCATCATTCTGCCCCAGTGAAAGGCATCATGGCCCAGTTAGAGACAAAGAGAAGGTACAGGTGGTAGTTAGGAGAGTGGGTCCTGATGCAATCACCAGGGTTCAAGTTCACCAGCAGCGGAACCTTGGGCAACTCACTTCACTTCACTTTCTGAACCTCAGTCTCCTCGTTGTGTAAATAGGACATGAGGCCGGAGGCCAGACTCAGTGGTTTATGCCTCTAATTCCAGCATTTTGGTAGGCTGAGGAGGGAGGAGTTTCTTGAAGCCAGGAGTTGGAGGCCAGTCTGAGCAACATAGTGAGACCCCATCTCTGCAAAAAATTTAAAAATCAGCTAGGCTTGGTGGGATGCACTGTGGTGACAGCTACTCAGGAGGCTGAGGCTGGAGGATCACTTGAGCCCAGGAGTTCAAGGCTGCAGTGAGCTATGATTGAACCACTGCCACTGCAGACAGGGTGAGGAGTCCCTATTGCTAAAACAAATAGATAAACAAACAAATAAGCTATATTGGGAGATGATGTGATACATCTATACAGTGGAATACTGCTTAACAATGAAAAGAAATGGACTGCTGCTATTCCACAGCAATGTGGATGAATCTCAAAAGTACTATGACAGAATGAAACCAGACCAAAAAAAGTACATACTGGGCCAGGTAAGGTGGCTCACGTCTGTAATCCCAGCTCTTTGAGAGCTCAAGGTGGGCTGATCTCTTGATGCCAGGAGTTCGAGACCAGCCTGGCCAACCTGGCGAAACTCTATCTCTACTAAAAACACAAAAGTTAATCAGGCATGGGGGTGCACGCCTGTAATCCTAGCTACTACTCAGGAGGTTGAGACACTTGAACCCAGAAGGCAGAGGTTACAGTTAGCTGAGATTGTGCCAGTGCACTCCAGCCTGGGCCACAGAGCAAGACTCCATCTCAAAAAAAAAAAAAAAAAAAAAAAAATGAAAAAAAGAAAAGAAAATGCAAACTAATTTATAGATATGGAAAGCAGTTCAGTGATTACTTGTGGCCAGAGGGAGGAATGACAAGGGGCACAAGGAAACTTTTGAGGGTGACAGATGTGGTCCTTGTCTGACTGTGTTGACAGTTTTGTGGGTGTATGTATACATGTCAAAGCTTATCAAACTGTACACTTTAAAATGTGTAGTTTATTGCGTGTCAACTATACCTCAGTAAAGTTGTTAAAAAAATGGGAACCGGCCGGGCATGGTGGCTCATGCCTGTAATCCCAGTACTTTGGGAGGCCGAGGTGGGTGGATCACCTGAAGTCAGGAATTGAAGACCAGCCCCAATATGGTGAAACCCCATCTCTACTAAAAATACAAAAATTAGCTGGGTGTAGTGGCACACACCTGTGGTCCCAGCTACTCAGGAAGCTGAGGCAGGAGGATTACTTGAACCTGGGAGGCAGAGGTCACAGTGAGCCAAGATCATGCCACTGCACGACCCAGCCTGGGTGATAGAGTGAGACTCTGTCTCAATAAAAAATAGGGGGAACTGATAAACTGATGACAGTGTCTTTGGCATAGGGTTGTGGTGTGGATTAAATGAGTTAATTCATGAAAAACCACAGGGCAACACCTGGCAGGCGGTAGGTGCTCAGAAAGCACTACCCAACCCCATCGTTGATGGTTTTGTTGGGGATAAACGGCAGTGGTTTCCACCTGGCTGCACATTAGGATCACCTAGCAAATATTTTTTTAAGTTCAGTGGCCTGAGCTTCCCCCAAAGAGAATCTGATTCAGCTGACCTGGGGTGGGGCTTGGGGCTGGGAATTTTTAAAGCTCTGCAGGTGATTTTATAGGATTTTATAGGATTTGAATAAGTCAGGATTTTTCTTTTCCTTTTTTTTTCATTGAGATGGAGTCTCACTCTGTTGCCCAGGCTAGAGTGCAGTGGCACAATCTCAGCTCATTGCAACCTTTACCTTCCACGTTCAAGTGATTCTCCTGCCTCAGCCTCCCAAATAGCTGGGATTACAGGTATGCGCCACCATGCCCAACTAATTTTCTTGTTTTTAGTAGAGATGAGGTTTCACTATGTTGACTAGGCTGGTCTTGAACACCTGACTTCAGGTGATCCACCCGCCTCAGCCTCCCAAGGTGCTGGGATTACAGGCCTGAGCCACCGCACCTGGCAAGTCAGGATTTTTCTTCACTGCACCAATATCCATCGAGTCCCATGATGCGGAAACTATGCTAATATCTTCCAGATGGTTCTGTCCTGCAGGCCAGCTCTGGCCACATTAATTTATTCTGCAAATGTAGCTGACTATGCTGTGCAGCCCTGACCAGACGCTGGGGACATAAAGTTGGATCCAAGTTCCCACCCTGCGGGATGCCTGGTCTAAGGAGAGAGACGAACGCAAAGCAAATCCACACAGGGAAGAAAAGGCCATGGGAGTCACGCACACAAGAAGCTTCCAGGGCATAGAGGAACTGGGGAAAGCTTCACGGAGGAGGAGGTGACATTTTTGCAGGGTTTTGCAGAATGTATAGGAGTTTGCCAGAGAAGAAGAAGAGCATCGTGTGCATATCAGTTATCGCTTGCTGTGTAACAAATGACTCCAAAATTTAGCCGCTTAAAACAACAATTTTATTAAGTTCACAGACTCTGCAGGTTAGGAATTTTGATAGGGCAGAGAGGAGACAGCTTGTCTGTACTCCTCAATGTCTGAGGCCTCAGCTGGAAAACTTGAGGCTGATGCAACTCAAAACCGAGGGCTGAAATCATCTGAAGTCTCATTAACTCACATGTCTGGCTCCAGACCAGAGCGACTCAGAGACTAAGACTGTCAGCCAGGGTGTCTACACCTGGCTTGTCTATGTGGCTTGGGCTTCCTCAGATCATGGTGGTCTCAGGGTAGCCGGACCAAAGCTCAGGGCTCTAATAATGAGTATTCCAGTGGAAAAGATAAAAGCTGCCTTTTATAACCCAGCCTTGGAAGTGACAAAGCAGCACTTCCACTGCCTTCTTTTTTATTTTTTTTTTTGAGACAGAGTTTCACTTTTGTTGCCCAGGCTGGAGTGCAATGGCACGATCTCGGCTCACCACAACCTCCACCTCCTGTGTTCAAGCAATTCTCCTGCCTCAACCTCCCGAGTAGCTAGAATTACAGGCATGTACCACCACGCCCAACTAATTTTTGTATTTATAGTAGAGACGGGGCCTCTCTATGTTGGTCAGGCTGGTCTCGAACTCCTGACCTCAGGTGATCCGCCCGCC